TTAATGGCCATGAGCTCCCCTCTTCTGCCTCTAGGAGGGCTCATGTTAAGCCTGGCAGAGTGACAAAACCAACCAATCCTCACATTAGAGTTCCATATTGTTGTTGTTGTTAAGTGCCATTGAATCGGCTTCCACTCATAGCAACCCTATGTACAACAGAATGAAACACTACGTGGTCCTGTGCCAGCCTCACAAGTCTTGCTATACCTGAGCCCATCATTGCAGCCACTGTGTCAATCCATCTCATTGAGGGCCTTTCCCTTCTTCTTTGACCATCCACTTCACCAAGCATGACATCCTTCTTCAGGGAATGACCCCTTCTTATAACATGACCAAAGTAGGTGAGATGAAGTCTGGGCATTCTCCCTTCCAAGGAGCCTTCCAGCTGTACTTTTTCCAGGAAAGATTTGTTCATTCTTTTGGCAGTCCATGGTACTTTCAGTATTCTTCACCAAGAGCACAACTCAAAAGCATCAACTCTTCTTTTACAACGTATTTAAATGGTCCCACCCAGTAATCTGGTGGGAGTCACAAAGACCATGGCTAGAAAAACCATACCAAGTAATTCACTGCACCATAGGTAAGTGGGGCTAGAAAACATCTGAGGTAGGGCTAGAAAACATCTACCCCATTAGTAAGAAACTTTTGGGGGATGCATAGAAGCAGAACCCCTGTTTCTTCCTTGGCAGTCTCTCTCAATCACACAGAGACATACATAGGCAGGAAAAAGTTCTGCAGATCATGTTCTTCATTCTTTTTCTAAACATGTTATAAAAATATATCCTCGTTTGGGAATGTGTCCTCAATATCCTTAAAGAAAATAAGGGTAGGAAAACTCATCTCCTTGTTTATATTTTTAATATGCCTTAAACTCACTGCCACTGTACTGATTCTGACTCATAGTGACCATATAGGACAGAGAAAAACTTCCCTATAGGGATTCTAAGTCTATAAATCTTTGCAGAAGCAGACTGCCTCAACTTTCTCTCATAGATCAGCTAGTGGGTCCCAACCACCAATATTTCAGTTAGCAGCTAAGATCCCATCTATCTCTGCCATATTACGTATGAAAGACAGGGGAACTCCACATGCAAATGAAGAGGAAGAGCTTCTTCCTGAGATTCTTCTAGAAAATATGTTTTTCTTTATTTCCCCCAGCTTTTCCTCCTTTTCCACATGTCCAGCAGATGACGTCTTAGCTATTCAACTTTTCCACCTGCAGAATGGGAATAATAAATTTCTCTTAAGCTGGAGTCCTGCCAGAGTCCATAAATATTCTTCTGGGAGTCTATATCCCCCTACCCATCTTAAAATTATATGCAGCATTGATATGTATGGTAATTGCTTCTTGAGAGACAATCTAAACATACAGTATTTTGGGCTTCCATTAAAAAAAAAGCTAAATAAATAACTACAACTTCACATCATAGAAAAAAATTCACAGTGGAACCAAGTTTCCTTCATAGACTGATACATTTGTAATAAGGTATTGATAACGTGTTTGGTGGATGGAAATGTAACACAATCCAGAAGAGCAGAGTATGTTTTGTTTTGAAATCATCCAAGCATTGGGACCAGGTTTGCTGGTCCAATAGAGCCTGGTGGAACTGCTGAGACTACAGCCCAAGCTGCCCTTCAGGTCTGGAATTGAACCCATACCTGTTGTTTCCAGCCAAACAAAAGACAGGCATATGAGTTGAACATTTACTTCAAGTAGATACTCTCCTTGGAGAGAACAATCATGGGAGAAAGAAGGGCTGCTTATGCACAGGGAGACAGCTCAGGAGGCAGGAGTCCATGGAAGGATGGACACAGGGAAGAGGTAACTATGGGGAGGAAGTGGGAGGGGAGCTGTTGCATTGTGGTAAACTGTGGTCAATGTCATGAGACAAAGTGTATGTGAACTGCGTATGGAAAGTGAAATTGGTCTGTAAATTTTCACCCAAATCACAATTAAAAAAAAAAAAAAAAAAAAAATCACCCAAGCATCTGATGAGACATTCCTGAGATCTGCTCAGGGTACAATGACATGTATGCTCCTAGGATGTTTAACCATGGCTCCTTCTGTCAGCTAAGTACACTGCTGCCCGTGGCATGACTTAGGATATCACACAACACTCTAAAATTTTCCTCCAGAGGAAGGTGAACGTCTACTCTTACCTAAACCCAATAGCATTAAGGTGAGTAATTCTCCTGCACGACAGCAGTGTTTATAAAGGCAGGGGCTGCACTTAACTGGTTCACCATTATATCCCAAGGTCTGACACGTATGCCCACCAAGTAATGTTGTTTTTGTTATATGTCGTCGAGTCGGCCCCGACTCATAGCGACCCCTCCTTGGGTTTCCGAGGCAGTATCACTACGGAAGTAGGATCACCCAACCTTCCTTCTGAGGAGTGGCTTGGTGGGTTTGAACCACCAGCCTTCTGGTTAGCAGTCAAGTGCCTTAGGCACTATGCTACCAAGTAATAAGCTCTCAAATTACCTATTTACTTAATGAATGAAATTCTGTTGGTCAGAACAAAAGATTTGTTAATTGAAGTATTTCTGAAGGAGATGTACCTGGGGATGCCTTTCCCTGGTCACACAGCCTGATTGTAGCCTTGATCTCTGCAGCTGCTTTTTTCCTTCCAAAGGGTTTATAAGGTCTTCCAGTTGGAAGCCTTCTAGTACCTCTTGTTTGTTGTTGCGTCTTCATTCGTGTTTTGTATTATACCTTACAAAGGGCTTTCTATCTTCCCAACAAGACCTATGTTGCATATTTTAGTTGAGAAAATAAGACTGATAGAATTACATGCTGTGGTAATTTAGTTTGTGTGTAAATTTGGCTGGCCCTGGTTGAGTGGCTGGGCAGCCGGATGTAGTATTCCCCATGATGAGACTGGTAATCAACTTCATGGTGGAATCTACTGTGAGCAGCTGAGTAGCTACCTTAGGGATGTGTTCTGCTTCCTGTATATAAGGAGAAGCCTTGGGGAATGGTCTCTAGTTTATGAGATGCTTGAACCCTGCATGTAGCCACGTTACTGTTCAGCAGCCTGCCATGCTCTACCAACCTTGGGACTTTCAATGGACTTGAATTTATAGCCTGCCACATGGCTTGGTAACATCAGGAGTGTGCCATTTTATTTGTAAACCTTGGGCTTGTTAGCCTTAGCAGCTAGTAGCTGCCTGAGTGATGAGATGGGCCAAGAGCAAGAAGCACAGCTGAAGCCCAAGGTTGAGGGGCTTTCACCCAGCCCCTAGAGCCTGGCACTTTGAACTTGGACTTCTAGCATCCCAAACTGTAAGAGAATAAACTCCTGTTTGTTCAAACCATCCCATTTATGGTATATTCTTGTCAGAGCAGCACTAGATAACCAGAACACATGCCTTGGCCAAGTTCTCACAGCTAAAAAGTGAAGTAGATGTGCCTTATATTCTTAACTCTAGGTTCAAGTCTTTCTTGACACAGTTACTATGGCTGAGACAGTTACTATGGCTGGGACACATGGAAATAAAGCCTCAAGCTCTTTTCATTACCAATGTATCAATGGCAAAGGAGCTCTGGTGGTGTAGTGAGTAAGGCATCTGACTGCTAACCAGAAGGTCAGTGGTTCAAACCCACCAGCTGCTCTGCAGGAGGATGAGGCAGTCTACTTCTGTAAAGATGTACAGCCTTGGAAAAACAATGGGGGTTGCTAAGAGTCAGATTTGACCCAATGGCAGTGGGTGGGTATTAATGGCAACTTCTAAGAGGAGATACTTCTTTACATAGAATCATCCAACCATCCAAAGTCTCATCAAATGGCATCTTAAACATTAATTTGTTAAAGTGAGTTAAATTAATTTGGTTTGGAGAATTCTAGTACTTCTTGAAATAATTTGGAGATTGCCTAGCGCCTAAGAGAAAATGGGAACCCTTTAGGCATACCACTTAACCTCTGAACCCCATTGTCTCATCTATAAGTTGGAAATAATTGTTCTAGTTCTGCTAACCACAAAGGCATGTTCTGTGAATCAAATATAAAATAATACGCAAACTTTCTTAAACTATTAAACACCATACGAATGTCAGGTGTTATTTTTAGAAATGCATAGTATATGCACAGACATGACCACCATATTTGGCTACACCAAGGTTTTTGCCTGGTTTACATTACAAATCAAAGAGTAAATGTTTATAGGTAGCTATAGAAATGAATCTATATATTCCCTATATTTGGACCATGGGTATGTGGAGTATACATGAGATTGATGTGTTTTTTGCTATTGAAGAACAAAGCCTTTTAGAGGACAAGATGGTGAACTGCATAAGATTCACACTATGACACAACACTTTTCATTTTAATCCTCACAGCTACCCTGTGATGAAGTCACCATTCCAGGCTCATTTTTCTGATAAGGAAACTGGAGCTTAGAGAATTGGTAGGAAAATGGTCCAAATCATAAAGCAAATGCAAGCTAGCATCAAGACGGTATTTACTGATTGTTCAGTCTAGTGTAGTTTAGACTTTGAATTAACACTGGTGACAAACAGTGCCCGTGTGCCTGTATCTCGGAAAGTCATTTGGGCTGTCATTCTAATCTTCTTTTATGTAAATTTTCTCAGCTTGGTGGCTTGCTAATATCTACTTACAATTTGTGTTCACTGTATTAACCTCTAGATACATAAACACAGGCTGTTTGTGGTCTTCTGAGGACAGTCAGAGGCACCCACATCGCCCACAAGCAAACTCTAATAGCCCTATTAATGTTAGATAGACCAATCTAATGGAGTGCCTTTTCCTAGCAGCTCATTGATTATAAGTACTTACCTTAAGTATTTATATGTGGCCTGAAAAGTACGTGTCCAAATGAAAATAATGATTTTCAGGAGTAGTGATGTAAAGACTGAGCATCAGGGCTTCGGTGGCCATTGGTGGAGACTTCCTTGCTTACGATTAGTTCTTTTAGGTAGAAAATTATACAAAAACAAAAAGTCAGTGAGTAACAGTGTCATTTTTCTGTTTCTTTTACAGGTTGATGACCAAATGAAGCTGCTTCAGAACTGCTGGAGTGAGCTCTTAATTCTTGACCACATTTACCGGCAAGTGGTCCATGGAAAGGAAGGATCAATCTTCCTGGTTACTGGGCAACAAGTGAGTGTTGGAGTGGAGACAAGGGGAAAAAAAAGAAAGCGTCTTTTTATTAAGCATGCTCAGAATGGCAGGAATTTAACTAGGTCAGAAGCACTCTTGTGCTTTGAAAAGGAGAGATTGGCTGCAAATAATTTAGAAAAGATGAGTTGGTACACTCTGTTCCTGCTCTGATGATTAGAGTTAAACTTGTAAAAGCAAACATAATCACAAGCATTCTGCTGCCTCCAGTCCACTGGGATTGAAAGTTCTGCTTTGAAGGGTCAGAACAATTGCTAAATCAAAATCAGTGATTGTTATTATTATGGGCCATTGAATCCATTCCAATTCATAGGGACCACATGAGACAGAGTAGAACTAGCCCATAGGGTTTCCTAGGCTGTAACCTTTACAGGGACAGATTAACAGGGCTTGTCTCCTGTGGAGCCACTTGGTGGGTTTGAACCACCAACCTTTTAGTTAGCAGCTGAGCGATTAACCATTGTGCCACTGAAATGCATTGCCATTAAATAGATTCTTATGTATAGCAACCCTGTAGGACAAAGTAGAACTGCCCCCATAGAGTTTCCAAGGCTGAAATATTTATGGACGCAAACTGCCACAGCTTTCTCCCATGGAGTGGCAGGGAGATTCGAACTGCCAACCTTTCAGTTAGCAGCCAAGCGCTTTAACCACTGTGCTCCTTAAATCAGTAATTAGTACCTGGAACTTCTGCATTAACCTATTACACTTCTTCGTTAGCTATTCAAAATAAAAACTTTATAAACTATGGAATCATTACTATTTTGAATTGGTGGAAGACAGTGACTCAAATATCACACATAATCAAAATATTTGGCACAAAGGCAAGTGAGAAGGGGCAGCAGTTTTTGTTTTCAAGAGCCAATCACATTCAAAAGAAAGAAAAAATTACTCTTTAATCTTATTCCTTTCTAAATAGATATCCATTCATTAAACAAATATTTTATCAAACATTCTACTTTGTGCCAGCCACTATTCTGGGACTTGGGCATATATTAGTGAACAAAAGAGAAAAAAAGATTCTTGTCCTCATGGAAATTACTTTCTAGCAGTGGGGTGCCTATCATAAACAATAATCCTAATAAACAAATGGACTTAATGGCAACTAACAACAACATATTAGAGAAATCACTGGGTGGGGCAAAGAGTTAAAACACTACTAACCAACTCTGGTAGCATAGTGCCTAAGGCACTTGACTGCTAACCAGAAGGCTGGTGGTTCAAACTCACCAGCCACTCCTTGGAAGGAAGGTTGGGCAATTTACTTCCATAGTGATACTGCCTTGGAAACCCAAGGAGGGGTCACTATGAGTTGAGTCCGACTCAACAGCACATAACAACAACAACAACAACCAAAAGCTTGGTGGTTTGAATCCACCCAGAGACACCTTGGGAGAAAGGGCTGGTGATCTACTTCTGAAAAGATTGCACCCATTGAACAGCCTACGGAGCACATTTCTACTCTACCATAGATGGCAACATCATGCTTTGGAGTCAACCCGGCAGCAACTGGTTTGGTATTTTTAGAATACATTAGAGGTCAAAGTGCTATTGAATAATAGAAAAAGAAAGAAAAAGGAACCTGGTAAAACGGAACCACATTTATATATGGATGAGTGTTACAGTGTGACCCATGGATTGCAGTGTTAAATAGGAATGGTCTGGGCTGAACTTATTGAGAAGGTGACATTTGAGCAAAGACCTACAGGAAGTGAGAAGAGACCTGGGGCAAGAGCAAGACAACTTAAGACTTAACTAAGTCTGACTTTACAGGATCTTGGCATATCCCTCCAGTTCCTTAATCTACATTCTACTATGAATGTGTTATTACAATAAATGCATGAAACATAGTGATACCTTTAGTGCATTGGGTCGTGCCTATTCAGGGCACCACCACATTGTTCAGCAATGGTGACTTCAGTACTCAGGCACCGTGATCTTTTACGTCCAGCCATAAATGTTTATGTGCTGTGAAACCACAGCAGCGCATATTTGAAAATGAAAGGCTGTCTCCATACCATTTGCTGTACTATTAATAAATCACATTCTCTCAATCAAATTAAAGGCAAGCACTATTTCAGAGCTTTTGCAAATTGGATCAATCCAACCATTTCCATCACTAACTGGCCCCTACTTTCCGTACCCATTTTGGGAAAAGATTTCTGGATGAAAACATGTAGCCTCAATAGGCCTAACTTCCCATCTTTTCAGATATTTGTTTAACATTTTCATTCTGTGACCCAAGGCTTTGAAGGAAATGTACCCATTTCCAGAGTTTAATCATTGGGCATGCTTGCTCCCCCCACACCCCACCCCCAACTTGAAACTGCATTAGAAGAACAAGACAGCCCACAAATTAATTTGATTTCATTTCCTTCTGAGTTTCTGAAATGAAATGGGTTTGTGCTGTTCTTTCTCAAAGCACTTCCATTCCTGCTCTTTAGAAATACTCCTTATTTCACGTTTCATTTTCCCTTAAGTGCTGCCCCTGGGCAAAGGTAATTACCATTTAAAAAGTAGAGAAAGTGCATTTCTGGATTCCCTGATCTTCAAAACCAAGAACAGTCAAGGAATAGGTGGAATAATAGTCTGCCTAAGGCACTTGACTGCTAACCAGAAGGCTGGCGGTTCAAACCCACTAGCCACTCCTCGGAAGGAAGGTTGGGCAATCCTACTTCCGTAGTGATACTGCCTCGGAAACCCAAGGAGGGGTCGCTATGAGTCGGGGCCGACTCGATGGCAAACAACAACAACAACAACATTGTCAATTACTGCAACTTGGTGTTTTGCCATCACACTTGAATGAGGGACATCCTGGTGGAAAGCCAGTTTCACCCCCACACATTTCCATAGCCTGGGTTCTTCTAAGGTCCTCCCATCTTAAAATTGAGCCACATTTTGTCAGACTCCCTAACCTTTTTCTATCTAAAAATAAGTGAATCGCCTAACTGAACAATTACAATTGGATATTCTTATTTAGGGAAATTATGGAAGACATGTTGTTGTTGTTATGTGCTATCAAGTCAGACCCAACTCATAGCAACACCTCCTTCTGAGGCAGTATCACTACAGAAGTAGATTGCCCCATCTTCCTTCCGAGGAGTGGCTGGTGGGTTTGAACCGCCAGCCTTCTGGTTAGCAGTCAAGTGCCTTACCCACAATACTACACATAAGTTGGGTGAAAACATTTTTAACTGATCTCTGGGCTTCCTGCCTTTCTAACAGAGGAGAAATATTTTGATACAGTGTCTTTTATATCCTCCCCAGCACTTACTAGAATGTTGAATATCTTAGGCACATGATAAATATTAGCTGATTGCACTAAAGGAGAACTGTTGTGTCTCTTAACCTGATTGTTTAGCTAAATAAAACAAGTTAACTAAAACTCAACCCATTGCCATTGAGTCAATTCTGACTCATAGTGACCCTACAGAAGACAACAGAACTGCCCCATAGGATTTCCAAAGCTGTAATCTTTATGGTGGAGCTCTGATGAGTCAATGTTGCACTCATCAGTGGTTCAAACCCACCAGCCACTCTGTAGAAGAAAGATGAGGCAGTCTGCTTCCATAAAGAGTTACAGCCTTGGAAACCCTATGGGGCAGTTCTACTCTAACCTATAGGATCATTATGAATTGGAATCCAACTTGATGGTGGTGGGTTTTTTTTGTTTGTTTGTTTGGAATCCTTATGGAAGCAGACTGCCACATCTTTCTGCCACAGAATGACTGGTGGGCTCAAACCACTGACTTTTCAGTTAATAGCCAAGCATTTAACCACTATGTCACCAGGGGTCCTAACTAAGATTCAAATGCTGATTGAGTGTCCTTCCAGATCCCACATATCATCCACACCCTCTTACTGTTATGAGATTCCAATAATAGTCTTAAGATAATAAATCTCTCTCTTTCTCTCTCTCTCTTTTTTTTTTTTTTTTTTTAAACCACTGTAAACATATACTACTTTCTATCCTATAGCCCAGGAAGATATACTGAAAATTTTAAGTATAATTTTCTTAGAATGGAATATACCTCTCTGACTGCAAGGAAGAGGAAACCTGTATTTTTGTTATTATTATTATTAAAAAAAAAAAAAAAAAACCTACAGCCCTCAACAGCAATAACAAAATAGAGAAATAAAAATTATTTGCTGGACAACAATTTTAAAAAGATTCTGAAAACAGCGAGAAAGGGGAAATAGCAAGTTAGGAGTAAAACAATATTTTGGAGAGAAGAATTATTTTAAAAAGGAAATACATCCCTTGGAGCAATAGACCAAGGGGCATCAGAGGGGCAACATTCACATTGAAGTAATACAGGAGAGACAGGAGTGCATAACTATGAGGGCCACAGGGGCAGGGTTACTGGGCAGAGAGGGGAGGGGACTGGGTTAGGGTTGGGCATGATAAATGGGAAGTGAAACTAAATGTACATGTAATGTTGAATGTAAAACAAACTCTTAAAATAAAAAATCCTCCCCACCCCCCAAAAAGGAAAAGATGGAAGTAAGTGAAGAAAACAAAACGAAAAACAGCATCCTCTTTGTTATGTTTACAGTCTAATACAAAACAACCTATAAACCCCAAACTAAACTAACGCGGTCGAGTTGGATCCCACTCATAGCAACCTCTCCTTGGGTTTCTGAGGCATTATCACTATGGAAGTAGATTGCCCAACCTTCCTTCTAAGGAGTGGCTGGTGGATTTGAACCTCCAGCCTTCTGGTTAACAGTCAAATGCCTTAGGCACTATGCCACCAGAGCTCCCCTTTGAAGACTAAGGTGCCCCACCCACTCACCCCCCCAAAAAAACACAAACTCACTACCATAGAGTCGGATCCGACTCATAACGACCCCTCCTTGGGTTTCCAAGGTGATTTCACTGTGAAAGTATATTGCCCAATCTTCCTTCTGAGGAGTGGCTGGTGAATTTGAACTGCCAGACTTCTGGTTAGCAGTCAAATGCCTTAAGCACTAGGCTACCA